ACGGGGTTTCACCATGTTGGCTAGGATAGTCTGGAGCTCTTAACCTCGTGATCCTCTCACCTCAGCCCAGAGTGCTGGGGTTGGAGGTGTGAGCCACTGTGCCCTGACTTTTTTTTTTGGCTGGCTGCGGTGGCTCACACCTGTAATCCCAGAACTTTGGGAGGCGGAAGCGGGCAGATCACAAGGTCAGGACCTTACAATTGTAAGGTCTTTCCCCATTGTGAAGTCCCGGATGTTCAGTGAGGTGTGATCTGTATCTAAATGATTTCCCACACTCCCTGCACTCATAAGGCCTTTCTCCGGTGTGACCTCACTGATGTTGAATTGTGATTTACGTTTGGTAAAGGAGTAGCTAGATTTTGTAATGTGGTCGGTAAGGACATGCAAGAGGGTTTCAGGTATGATGCTGGGGTTTTTTTTGTTTTTTGTTTTTTTCAGATGGAGTCTCCCTCTGTCACCAGGCTGGAGTACAGTGGCGCGATCTCTGCTTACTGTAACCTGTGCCTCCTGGGTTCAAACACTTCTCCTGCCTCAGCCTCCTGGGTAGCGAGGACTACAGGCATATGCCATCATGCCTGGCTAATTTTTGTAATTTTAGTAGAGATGGGGTTTCACTATATTGGTCAGGCTGGTCTTGAACTCCTGACCTCAGGTGATCCACCCACCTCATCCTTCCACAGTGCTGGGATTACAGGCTTGAGCCACTGTGCCCGACGACCCTAGGGTTTTTGGTCTTAGCAACAGCAGTGATAGAAGCTGTATCAGCTGAGATGAGCAAGTTGAGATTAGGCATAATATTCTTTGCGGATATAAGGAGGGTTGTTTTCACCATGCTAAGAGTCTGAGATGCTTATTCACATAGGTTGGGATATCTGGGAAATAATTGATATTGGAGACATCCGGTATATGATAGCTAATGTGTGGGCTAAGGTGAGTTAGCCACGGGTCTCGTTTTGGAGGGCACACTTCAGAATAAGGTAGTAAATGTTTCAGGGGGCCAGAAAGGAATGGTTGGAGGATGAGGACTGGATGTTTTGCCTGGGTCCTTGGGTGACATGATTGTCATTCATAACCTGTGTTATGCATTCACACAGGAGAGGGAGGTAAGTGACAATGTCGGGTGTATCAGACGGCATAGCTCGTCATGGTGCGGACTTCCATGGAGATAATAGACATGAGATGCAGGCAGAAGTACAGGAGGAATTGAGGGAAAGGTCATCATTGTCGAGGGGTTGGCAAGTGAAGCACAGAAGTGGAATAGGGTCACGAATAGCTGAAGCCACACATGGTTCTGTGTTGCTGTGGAACCGTGCAAGGAGGCCTTCGTAGAATTACTTGAGACCACCACTCCTTTTAGGATCCAATAGAATTGCAATTCTGTGGTAATAGTGGATTGGTTTGAATGGGTCATACACACTCTGGATAGTGTCAACCATGATGTGGTGTAAGGCCAAAAATGAAGGCCCAATGTGATTTGCCACCTGCATGCCTGGTGATATTGGTACGACCACAAATGACCTGAGTGCAAGTTTCTTTCCCACTTAACTCTCTTTTTGTGTGTGTTTGTTTGTTTGTTTTTTTTTTTTTTTTTTTTAGACGGAGTCTCGCTCTGTTGCCCAGGCTGGAGTGCAGTGGCGCGATCTCGGCTCACTGCAAGCTCCGCCTCCCGGGTTCACGCCATTCTCCTGCCTCAGCCTCCCGAGTAGCTGGGACTACAGGTGCCCACAACCGCGCCCGGCTAATTTTTTGTATTTTTAGTAGAGACGGGGTTTCACCGTGGTCTCGATCTCCTGACCTTGTGATCCGCCCGCCTCGGCCTCCCAAAGTGCTGGGATTACAGGCGTGAGCCACCGCGCCCGGCCAACTCTCTTTTTATATATTTAAAATTTTTTCTCTCATGTAGGTATTAGAAACAGGGTCTTGCCATGTTGTCCAGGCTATTCTTGAACTCCTGGGATCAAACAGTCCTTCCACTTCGGCCTCCCACAGTGCTGGCATAGCAGGTATGAGACACCATGACTGACCACTTCACTGTCTTAAGTAATCTATCTGAACGGGCGCAGTGGCTCCTGTGTATACCTATAATCCCAGCACTTTAGGGGGCCGAGACGGGTGGATCATTTGACGTTAGGAGCTTGAAACTAGCCTGCCCGATATGGTGAAACGCCATCTATACTAAAAATACAAAAATTAAACAGGCGTGGTGGTACACACCTGTAATCCCAGCTACTCAGGAGCTGAGGCAGGAGAATTGCTTGAACCCAGGAGGCAGAGGTTGCAGTGGGCCGAGATTGCACCACTGCATTCCAGCCTGGGTGATAGAGTGAGACTCTGTCTCAAGAAAACCAAAGTAATGTATCCTAGCCTCTGAAACCTTTCCATCAATGGGACCAGGCAAAGTTCCTGTTATACTTTGTAGTGAGTTTCAATTCCATTTCTATATCCAGAGTTATTCAAATAAGTCAGTGGCATCCTCCTGAGGGAATCAGGCTGTTAAACTCTTCATCTTTACAAAGCTTGCATGCTGTGGTTGCTCTCTCTTATCCACAATGCAACCCCCATGTGACTCTCTGTAGTGAGTGGTGTCCCTCTTATCAGGCTGTTAATATATTTGATGTTTTTATTATTATTATTATTATTTTTGAAACAGTGTATTGCCCTTGTTGCCCAGGCTGGAGTGCAATGGTATGATCTTGGATCACTGCAACCTCCACCTTACAGGTTCAAGCAATTCTCCTGCCTCAGCCTTCCGAGTAGCTGGGATCACAGGCGCCCACCACCATGCTCAGCTAGTTTTGTTTTGTTTTGTTTTGTTGTTTTAGTATTATTTTTTGAGACGGAGTCTCACTGTCGCCCAGGCTGGAGTGCAGTAGTGTGATTTCGGCTCACAGCAAGCTCCGCCTCCCAGGTCCACACCGTTCTCCTGCCTCAGCCTCCTGAGTAGCTGGGACTACAGGGACCCGCCACCACGCCCAGCTAATTTTTTGTATTTTTAGTAGAGACAGGGTTTCACCATGTTAGGCAGGATGGTCTCCATCTCTTGACCTCGTGATCCGCCCGCCTCGGCCTCCCAAAGCGCTGGGATTACAGGTGAGAGCCACTGTGACTGGCCTAGTTTTTTGTATTTTTAGTAGAGACACGGTTTCAGTATGTTGGCCAGGCTGCTCTCAAACTCCTGACCTCAGGCGATCCACCTGGCTGAGCCTCCCAACGCTCTGGAATGACAGGTGTGAGCCACTGCGCCTGGCTCCATACATTTGATTTGGAAACTGATCTTGATGACATCTGTAGAATATCAGATGTCATTTCTTTTACCAACATTGTAACACTAGGGGGAGATTTCAACCGACACTAGTAGAAGACAAAGGAGGGAATTAAGATTTTTTTTTTTTTTTTTTGAGACGGAGTCTCGCTCTGTCGCCCAGGCTGGAGTGCAGTGACCTGATCTTAGCTCACTGCAAGCTCCGCCTCCCGGGTTCACGCCGTTCTCCTGTCTCAGCCTCCCAAGTAGCTGGGACTACAGGCGCCCGCCACCTCGCCCGGCTAGTTTTTTGTATTTTTTAGTAGAGACAGGGTTTCATCGTAGTAGCCAGGATGGTCTCGATCTCCTGACCTCGTGATCCGCCCGTCTCGGCCTCCCAAAGTGCTGGGATTACAGGCTTGAGCCACCGCGCCCGGCGGAATTAAGATATTTTAAGTTGGCCGGGCATTGTGCCTCACTCCTGTAGTCCCAGCACTTTTGGAAGCTGAGGTGGGTGGATCACAAAGTCAGGATTTCGAGACCAGCCTGGGTAACATGATGAAATCCTATCTCTACTAAAAATACAAGAATTAGCCGCATGTGGTGGTGCACGCCTGTAATCCCAGCTGTTCAGGAGGCTGAGGCAGGAGAATCCTCAGGAGAACCCAGGAGGCAGAGGTTGCTGTGAGCCTAGATCGTGCCGTTGCACTCCCACTTGGGCAACAGAGCAAGACTCCATCTCAAAAAAAAAGAAAAGAAAAGAAAAAAAAAGGCCGGGTGCGGTGGCTCATGCCTGTAATCCCAGCACTTTGGGAGGCCGAGACGGGCGGATCACGAGGTCAGGAGATCGAGACCATCCTGGCTAACACAGTGAAACCCCATCTCTACTAAAAATACAAAAAATTAACTGGGCGTGGTGGGCGCCTATAGTCCCAGCTACTTGGGAGGCTGAGGCAGGAGAATGGCTGAACCTGGGAGGCGGAGCTTGCAGTGAGCCCAGATCACGCCACCGCACTCCAGCCTGGGCGACAGAGTGAGACTCCGTCTCAAAAAACAAACAAAAACAAAAAACAAAAAAAAAAGATACTTTAAATTGTGGCCGGGCGCAGTGGCTCACGCCTGTGATCCCAGTACTTTGGGAGGCTGAGGCAGATGGATCACGAGGTTAAGACATCAAGACCATCCTGGCCAACATGATGAAACCTCGTCTCCACTAAAAATACAAAAATTAGCCAGAAGTGATGGCGAGCACCTATGTAGTCCCAGCTACTTAGGAGGCTGAGGCAGAAGAATCACTGGAACCCAGGAGGCAGAGGTTGAAGTGAGCCAAGATCGTGCCACTGCACTCCAGCCTGGCGGCAGAGCGAGACTCCGTCTCAAACAAAGCAGCAAAAAAAGATACTTTAAGTTGTTTAAAGGCCAGAGAGAGGCCAGTGGTGTGTGGCAGTGAGCTGGGGATGGACTCAGAGAGGGTATGTCTGATGTGCTGAAGGTGCCACTTTGGGCTCTCCGTGACCTTGGCCATACTGGGGGAAGTGCCTGTCAGGAGGGGGTGGACGCTTACGTCACAGCCACTGCACAGATACCTATCTGTTCAACTAATTATTGTTGGTGGCTGTACCCCATGACCAGTGGGCCTAGTTTCTCCTATGTTTGAGGACCTTGAGGAGGACGTGCAAGAGTAGATGTGTGGGAGAGAGGGATTGTGGTACCTCAGCATAGGGGCCGTTTGTAGTTCCATCTGTCAACATCATAACAGGGCACAGTGACTTTTGAAGACGTGGCTGTGAAATTTACCCGGGAGGAATGGAATCTCCTTAGTGAGGCTCAGAGATGCCTGTACCGTGATGTGACCCTGGAGAACCTGGCACTTATATCCTCCCTGGGTAAGTTGCTCACAATTACCCTGTGACCCGAGCTAGTCTCTGCTTTCCCCCCTCTTTCCCCATTGGCAAGACTTTCTCATGTCAGGAGCATGGACACAGCTTCCTGCTTCAGTTCTGTGGGTAGGTTCTTGGTTGGTAGAACTGAGGTGTCCATACTGCCCTGCTCCTTTCTTGGAGCAGCCCCAACACCTGCTTTACTGCAGGCTCCCAGGGAGGGATTCATAGTCAGAAGCCCACCTTGTTAGTCCTGTGGATGTTTGGGTGTCCTTGTCCAGATTTCAGGTTCCTGTGTACCCAGAGTCTACTTCCTTTCTCTAGCTGCTATTTTCTTATGCCTTCCTGTGGTGGGAATTGCCTTCACAGACTACATCACTGCCTACATAGACCAGAGGCTGTTCTTGTAAGACCTTCTTTAGAAATTCTCCTTGCAATACTCAGTTTTTTTTGTCTTGTGGGCTTTCATGGGCTGAATTGTTCTGAGACAATGCTGGCTGTTCCCTTGTTCTGTCTTTCCCTTAGTTTGTACGTTATTCATTTCCCATGTATTTGATCATCATTGTGGTGGGATGCACAGTCCTCCATGCTGCAGAAGATGCAAATGAATTCAGCCTCAGCATAATGGGCTCAGAAGGAATGAGTCCCTCAGGACTGGCACCCTGGGCTGGGGACGGTGGTTCACGCCTGTAATCCCAGCACTTTGGGAGGCCCAGGCAGGTGGATCATGAGGTCAGGAGTTCAAGACCAGCCTGGCCAAGATGGTGAAACCCTGTCTCTACTAAAAGTACAAAAATTAGTCGAGCGTGATGGCACGTGCCTGTAATCCCAGCTACTTGGGAGGCTGAGGCAGAGAATTGCTTGAACCAGGGATGCAGAGGTTGTGGTGAGCCCAGATAGCATCACTGCACTCCAGCCTGGGTGACAGAGCGAGACTCCGTCTCAAAAAAAAAAAAAAAAATGTTATCCTGGAGGAGGTCAATGGAGTCAGGGCTTTATTGAAAGCATACCAGCAATGTATTCTATTTTAGTAGTATTTCTGTGGCAAGAGAAGTAGGCACACATAATTCGTCTTTTCTTCCTCATTCTTGAGAGCATCACACTTGTCACTTGTCTACCTTATCACTTCTACTCTTTTTTTAACGCTTGACCTACTTGTACATGAACTCGTACCCTAATATCCATTCTCCTGTCTAATCTTCACATCTCTGGACCCCAAATCTCATCTGTTTTACTTAAGTCGCCATCTACAGTGTTCTCCAGTATTCACATAGAGATTTGTGTTAGCAAATATATATACTTTGTTACAAACTGTCCTCCAGCAGTAGCTGCTGTGTTGTGCTCGTTTTCCTTGGCCTGGACAAATCCCTCTCTATAGCACTCACATGTCATGAGGATGTAAAGTTCTGCAGATGAGTGGTTTGCAGATGCAGGAATTGTGGACCCTGCCTTTACTCCCTGTGTTACATACCTGGTTGTGTCCTTTACGTCATGAGGCCTCCTACATTCTGTGACCTTTAGAGTCCAGTAATAATAAATAGCACCATGTTCCACCTGAAGCCAATGTTCTGTTCCTCCAAGTATTTCCTTGGAGTAATTCCTCAATTTGTCAGATACACTTGTGGGTGGTCTGTGCCTTCCCAACAGAGTTAACATGCACTTCACCAGCATTTTCTTGCTTTCAGGTTGTTGGTGTGGAGTGGAAGATGAGGAGGGACCTTCTAAGCAGAGTATTTATATACAAAGAGAGACTCAGATCAGGATTCCTATGGCAGGTGTGTCTCTTAAGAAAGTCCACCCCTGTGAGATGTGTGGCCCTATCTTAGGAGACATTCTGCACGTGGGAGATCATCAGGGAACACATCCCAAGCAGAAACTGCACAGCTGTGAGGCCTGGGGGAACAAATTGTATGACAGTGGAAACTTTCATCAACACCACAATGAGTACATTGGAGAGAAACCCTTCAGAGGCAGTGTTGAGGAAGTGTTGTTTGTGAAGAGGTATAAGTTCCATGTGTCAGGGGAGTCATCTGTCTTCAGTCAGAGTGGGAAGGACTTTTTGCCCATTTCAGTATTGCTTCAACAGGAGGCCATTCACACTGGGGAGAAGTCAAACAGTAAAACCGAGTTTGTGTCTCCCTTATGTGGGAAATCCTTTAGCAAATATGATAGCTTCAGTAATCATCAGAAAGTTCACACTGAAAAAAAACATTATGAGTGTGGAGAATGTGGGAAATCCTTTAGCAAATATGTTAGTTTCAGTAATCATCAGAGTGTTCACACTAGAAAAAGACCTTATGAATGTGGAGAATGTGGGCAATCCTTTAGCAAATATGATAGCTTCAGTAATCATCAGAGAGTTCACACTGAAGAAAAACATTATGAGTGTGTAGAATGTGGGAAATCCTTTAGCAAATATGTTAGCTTCAATAATCATCAGAGAGTTCGCACTAGAAAAAGACCTTATGAATGTAGAGAATGTGGGAAATCCTTTAGCAAATATGATAGCTTCAGTAATCATCAGAGAGTTCACGCTGAAAAACATTATGAATGTGGAGAATGTGGGAAGTCCTTTAGCAAATGTATTAGCTTCAGTAATCAGAGAGTTCACACTGGAATAAGACTTTATGAATGTGGAGAATGTGGGAAATCTTTTAGTCAAAAGAGCAGCCTCATTCAACATCAGCGATTTCACACTGGAGAAAAACCTTATGGGTGTGAATAATGTGGGAAATACTTTAGCTTAGAAGTATATCTTAGACGTCATCAACCAGTTCACGCTGAAGAAAGACCTTTTGAGTGTGGAGAATGTTTGAAATCTCTTAGTTCAAACCAGAACCTTAGGAACCATCAACGCCTTCACACTGGAGAGAGACCTTACGAGTGTGGAGAATGTGAGAAATCTTTTAGTCAGAAGCGCAGCCTTGCTTACCATCAGCGCATTCACGCTGAAGTAAGACCTTACCAGTGTGGAGAATGTGGGAAATCTTATATTTCAAAGGGGCACCTCAGGAGCCATCAGCGCATTCACACTGGAGAAAGACCTTATGAGTGTGGAGAATGTGGGAAATCTTACAATGAAAAAGGGCACCTTAGGAGTCATCAGCGAGTTCACCGAAAGACCTTGTAAGTGTGGAGAATGTGGGAGATGTTTTAATCACAAGAGTAACCTCATTCAACACAAGCTTGGTCATATTAGAAAAAGGCCTTCTGTGTGTAGGGAATATGGAACATTATTTAAGAGGAAGTCTCACCTCCTTGCACACCAGAGAATTCACGGTGGAGAAAAGCCCTATGCGTGTGAGGCTTGTCAGAAATTTTTTAGGCACAAGTACCAACTCATTGCACACCAGAGGGTTCACACTGGAGAAAGGCCATATGAATGCAATGATTGCGGGAAGTCATTTACCCACAGCTCTACGTTCCATGTTCATAAGAGAGTTCACACTGGTCAGAAGCCTTATGAGTGTAGTGAATGTGGGAAATCTTTTGCTGAAAGCTCCAGTCTCACTAATCACAGGAGAGTTCACACTGGAGAAAAGCCTTACGGGTGTAGTGAATGTGAAAAGAAATTTAGAAAAAGCTCTTCACTTCGTTACCATCAGAGAGTTCATGAAAGAAAGGCCTTATGAGTGCAGTGAGCCCGGTCTCAGTAAATACAGGAGAGCACACACCTGAGTAAGATCTTGTGATTGCAGCAAATGTGGAAAATGTTTACCCGAAGGTCTGCTCTCCTTGGACATTGGAGAGTTCACACTAGAGAAGAGTCCTTACAAGTAAAATAAATTCAGCAGTTTTGTAGCCACACCTCTGTATTCCTTCAGGGTTATATTTAACACTGAATGAAGGCCTTACTAGTGTGACAAATATAGGACATTTATCCAGAAGTCTGGCTTCATAACTCACAGGAGAGCTGTCACTATGGAAATGCCTTTTGAGTGTAATGTTTGCAAAAAAGGATTGTGCCTTCTCATTGGATCCTAGAACACTGAGATGAGAAAAACACTGTAGATGTATAGGGAATGTTATTTTTTCATTTTTTTGGAGAGGGTCTCACTCCATCACCCATGCTGGAGTGCAGTGCTGCGATCATAGCTCACTGCATCCTCCGCCCCCTAGGCTCAAGTGATCCTCCAATCTTAGTCTCCATGTAGCTGGGTCCACAGGCGTGCACCACCATGCCTGGCTCTTTTCTTGTATTAGTAGAGATGGGGTTTTACCGTGTTTCCCAGGCCAGAATTGAACTCCTGAGGTCAAGCAATCTGTACACCTCCGCTTCCCAAAGTGCTGAGATTCTAGGTTTGAGCCAGTGCTCTGCCAGTTATGCTTTTCTGTGTAACATGAGAGGAGATCCTTTGAGGGTGCCATGTGCCCAGATTGAAAAAACTCCAGGCATGTGGCATCTGTACTATATTTTTTAGTATGCCCTGTTACCTTGCTAGATTTATGTGACTGCCACTTCTCTGGCAAAAGCCATTACACCTCAGCTACTTGGTAGGTGCCCACATTGCATCATTCACCTATTTCGTATTCTAGAAGTACCCATTCACGAGGAATTGTATTGTATCCCATTCACGAGGAATTGTATTGTATCCCATTCGCGAGGAATTTTTAAGTTTTTTTGTTTGTTTGTTTGTTCGTTTTTTGGTTTTTTTGTTTGTTTGTTTGTTTTTGAGACAAAGTCTCACTGTCGCCCAGGCTGGAGTGCAGTGGTGTGATCCCGGCTCACTGCAACCTCTGCCTCCCAGGTTCAAGTGATTCTCCTGTCTCAGCATCCTGAGTAACTGGGATTACAGGCACCCACCACCACGCCCAGCTAATTTTTGTATTTTTAGTAGAGACGGGGTTTCACTATGTTGGTTAATTTTTGTATTTTTCGAAGAGACAGGGTTTTCCCATATTGCCCAGGCTGGTCTCGAACTCCTAACCTCGCGATCTGTCCACCTCGGCCTCCCAAAGTGCTGGGATTACAGGTGTGAGTCACTGCTCCCAGCCTTTTTTTCAAAGTTTTTAAATTTATATTTTTTGTAGAGACAGGGTCTTGCTGTGTTGCACAGGCTGGTCTCAAACTGCTGATCTTGAGTGATCCTTCTGCCTGGCTTCCCAAAGTGTTGGTATTATAGGCATGGTGTGAGTCAGCATGCTGGGGCTTTTTTATTTCTTTAATTTTTAATTCCTGATCTAGTCACAGAAGGATTTGTTGAGTAGCCTCAGCACTTCTTGCTTTTTCATTTCTTTCTGTTAAGTTACACCATGGACCTTCTCCATTTTTGTCACATAGGACTCTTGTACTGACTTGAAAAGATAGACTATTTCGGTTGAGCGCGGTAGCTCATGCCCATAATCCCAGCACTTTGGGAGGCCAAGGTGGGTGGATCACAAGGTCAGGAGGTCGAGACCAGCCTGGGCAATATGGGAAAACCCTGTCTCTTCGAAAAATACAAAAATTAACCAGGCATTGTGGCACACCTGTAGTCCCAGCTACTCAGGAGACTGAGGCAGGAGAATTGCTTGAACCCTGGGAGGTGGAGGTTGAAGCGAGCCGAGATCACGCCACTGCACTCTGGCCTGGGTCCTGCTACCTTGAAGGACAGCATAGCTAAACTATGTGGCTCAGGGGACTGCATGAATGCAGAATGTAGCTTTCTCCACTTGTGGCCTTTTTGCATAGCTGCCCAAGGCCTCCAAAGGACGACTTCAGGGCTTTGTGGTCTTTTATCTGTAGCATGGATACTACAGATTGTGGGTTCATAGGTCAGCTGGGTACAGGACAGTTTTTATATAACAACCTCTGGTGGTTTTTTTATTTTAATGTCAATACCACACTGAAAGATTGGTGATTTTTTTTTAACACGACAAAATTTTATCTTATGAGGTATATTGCATTGTGCTCAATACTGTTGAAGGAACTCTGTTCAGCAGATCTTACAAGGCACACATGTGCCCTGATATCCAGAAATCTATAGGGCAACATCACAGGTTGTAAGGTTACAGGGTGAAATTATAATTTTATGGTTACTTAGTTACTGCATTTATAGTCAGCAGAGGGGACAGCAACAAAGTTTTTGAAATGCACCTTTTTTTTTTTTTTGAGATACAGTCTCACTCTGTCACCCAGACTGGAGTGCAGTTCCGCCATCTTGGCTCACTGCAACCTGTGCCTTCTGGGTTCAAGCGATTCTCTCACCTTAGTCACCCAAGTAGCTAGAATGACAGGTGCGTGCCACCACACCCAGCTAATGTTTTGTATTTTTAGTAGAGATGAGTTTCACCATGTTACACAGGCTGGTCTCAAATTCAACTATTGAGCTCAGGTGATCTGCTCACCTCTGCCTTCCAAAGTGCTGGGATTACAGGTGTGGGCCACTGTGTTCGGCTGAAATGTATGGCTTTTAAAGGAGTGTCCACAGTTATGCAGTCACTATGTCTGTGATGGATAAGCAGATACAGAAATTCTCTCAGGACTTCCATAATGATGAATGTTGGGTAGCTAAGCTTTGATCAGAGGAAATAATCTAAAGGTTTTGTGGATTCATGTGACCTTTTGGGCTGGTCACCTTAAAGTAACTCTTGTATTAACAGGAGGAACAGGATAGGGAAAAAGAACTCAGTTCAGTGATGTAGCTTTGTGACCAGCCTGATCCAGTTTAATCAGGTAGAAATAACCTTCTTGTTACATCAATATTTGCTTCTATGGAGGCTAGTTTCCCCACTTAGGGCATGAGAAGAATTGGTAGTGTCAATATAGAATTGCCAAACCTGTCACCAAAAATAGTGGCAAATCTGTATTTTTCTCTTATATGATAAAAGCTGTAATAAGGTATAGGCCGAGCGTCATGGCTCATGCCTGTATTCCCAGCACTATGGGAGGCTGAGGGAGACAGATTCCTTGAGCCCAGGAAGTTGAGACCAGCATGGGGAACATGGCAAAACCTTGTCTCTAGGAAAAATAGCCAGGCATGGTGTCATGTACCTTAGTCCTAGCTACATGGGAGGATTGCTTGAGCCTGGGCGGCAGAGGTTACAGTGAACCAAGATCCCAATGCTGCAGTTCAGCCTGGGCAACAGAGTGAGACCCTGTCTCAAAAATAAAATAAAGATATAAATGACATCCAATAAAATATGCATATTTGAGTTGTAGGATAAGTCTTGAATTTTCTTATAATCCCATGAAACTATCATCAGAGTCACAATAATGAATTTATCTAATCTATCACCTTTGTATTTACCTGGAGCCTTTATAAAGTTTTTCTCTCTGCTTTCCAAACAACCATTGATTTACTTTGCTATATAATAGAGAACTTTCCATTTTCTGGAATTTTCTGACTGATGTAATAAAGTGTTTCCTCTTATACTCCCTGGGTGCTCTCCTGCATCATGCTTATTTTGATGTCAATGTAGATATATGAGTTGTTCATTTGTTTTATATTGCTGAGAAGTATAGTCTGCCATGAAATGTCATTGTATATTCATTCATTCATTCATCCATTTATGGATATTTGAGTTGCTGCTTACTTTTTTTTTTTTTTTTAAAGACTCTGTCGACCAGATTGGAGTGCAGTGGTGTGATTTTGGCTGATTGCAACCTCCACCTCCCAGGTTCAAGCAATTCTCCCACCTCAGCCTCCCACGTAGCTGGGATTACATGTGTGAGCCACCATGCCCGGCTGTTTTTTGAATTTTTAGTAGAGATGGGGTTTCGCCGTGTTAGGTTCATCTCAAACTCCTGGCCTCAAGTGATCTGCCTGCCTTGGCCTCCCAAAGTGCTGGGATTACAGGCCTGAACTATGAGCCACCGCATCTGTAATTGATTCTGAGGCCAGGCGTGGTGGCTCACACATGTAATCCCAGCACTTTGGGAGGCCCAGGTGGGCGGTTCACTTGAGGTAAGGAGTTTGAGACCAACCTGGCCAACATGGTGAATCCCCATCTGTACTAAAAATACAAAACTTAGCCAGGGGTGATGGCACATGCTTTTAATCCCAGCTACTCACTCTGGAGGCTGAGACAGGAGAATCACTTGAACCTGGGAGGCAGAGGTTACAGTGAACTGAGATCACACCACTGCACTCCAGCCTGGGCAACACAGTGAGACCCTGTTTCAAAAAATAAAAATAAAATAAAAACATTTATTCTGAGATAATCCCAGTTCCCAATGTGAAACTATTCCTGCAATCACTGGAAAATAATAACAACTTTCTTGTAAGTAGATGAAATTTTGGAGCTCAGATGCCGTGTTTATGTTGTCATTCAGATGGCCTTTTTTTAACCTGTGCAGTAATTGTGAAAGTTGTAGCCACTGATGTGTACCACAGTGGCATTGGTTAAGTTGCTCTTCCTTTGAGACAGATGCCAATGTGATAAGGAAATTGAGTACACCTTAGCATGTGGATTAAGAAACATATTGACATAGTGATCCTCATAGTGACATAGATCATCAGGACTTGTTTTCTAAGCACTGGTCATGACCCTGCTCATGATGAAACAGGATCTGGTCAAAGCAGGATGCAATAAAGAAACCAGCTGAAAGCAGTAAAACTAAGATTGCAATGAACATGAACTCTAGTTACCCTCATTGCTCATTATATGCTCATTCTAATGAATTAGCATGCTAAAAGACAATCCCACCAGCACCACGACAGTTTACAAATGCTATGGCAATGCCCAGAAGCTACCTCATGTAATTTAAAAGAGAAGGAACCCCTGGTTCTGGGAACTCCACCCCCCCCCCCGCCTTTTTCTAGAAAATTCATGAATAACCCACCTCTTATTTAGCACATAATTAACGAGTAGCTGTAAATATAGGTAGCCAACAATCCACGGGTGCTACTTTGCCTGTGGAGTAGCCCTGCTCTGTCTGTGGAGCAGCCATTTTCCTGTACTCTGTTGCTCTCACAAACTTGCTTTGCCTTCACTTTACACTGTTGGCTTGCTCTTGAATTATTTCCTTTATGAAGCCAAGAACCTTCCTGGATTGAGCCCCAATTCTGGGGTTTGCTAGCATCAGTAGAGCAATTATCTGTGGGAACCAGTGGCCAACTGCCAGCTTCACTACCTGCTTCAGGGTGTACCAACATCTGTCTATTTCCCTGTCATTAGATCTTTATTATTTTATTTATTTATTTATTTTTGAGAAGGATTCTAGCTCTGTCACCCAGGCTGGAGTGCAGTGGCGCGATCTCAACTCATTGCAACCTCAGCGTCCCGAGTTCAGGTGATACTTCTGCCTCAGCCTCTCGAGTAGCTGGGACTGCAGGTGCCTGCCACCACACTGGGCTAATTTTTGTATATTTAGTAGAGACGTGGTTTCACCATATTGGTCAGGCTGATCTTCAACTCCTGACCTCGTGATCTGTCTGACTTCACCTCCCAAGGTGCTGAGATTACAGGCATAAGCCACCGTGACAGCAATTTATTTATTTTTTATTATTTTTTGAGACAGAGTCTCGCTCTTGTTGCCCAGACTGGAGTGCAATGGCATGATGTCAGCTTACCGTGACCTCCATCTGCAGGGTTCAAGTGATTCTCCTACCTCAGCCTCCCAAGTAGCTAGTATTAGAGGCATGCACCACCACGCCTGGATCATTTTGTACTTTCAGTAGAGATGCGGTTTCTCCATGTTGGCCAGACTGGTCTCAAACTCCTGACCTCAGGTGATCCGCCCGCCTTGGGCT